CTTGTACAGCTGCACAAAGTACACTTTGCACACTTTGCATACTATTATTTCTCCATGCAGCAGCAGCTGATTTTTTTTAATCTTCACAAATAAACAAACACAGGAAATTTCTGAAAATTGTGGCATTGCCCCTTCAGAGGTTTCTGGAACTTTTGGTACCATTTTCTTTTTCATTTATAAATAAGATAATAAAAAATAGGTGTTCATCATGTAGGCTATGTGGGTCCAGATGCTCTGCAAAGCTCTTCCAGAAGTGAACTGGTCCATTGGTCTTCCTGTTAAATTAAATAAATAAAAACACAAAGCAGAAGCCATGCTGGAAGAGTGAGTTTCCACAGCCTGGCATCCAAAAGGTGGTCCTATAAATGGATTATAATAATAATCACCATTAACCACTGATAAAGGCATTATTTACAACTATAAAAAGGAAGGTTGTACCTCTGTATATATATATAACCTACATTATTGTTTTTACTATCAGGTTGTGCGTGCTATTAATAACTTCTTACTAACAGTGGACATGGTTGACTAATATAATGGGATGGCAGGGACTAACAATACATTTCATCCTATGTTTTAAAAGAGGAATAAGCTGTCCTCCGGCTCCCAGCGTGGGCTCTCAGTGTAGTGTAGTGTTTCACGTGATTCGTGAGTAAAAGCTCCACCTTTGGGATAAACCAGAGGCGGCATCTGTGAGCCGCTGCCTGCCGGGACAGACGGGGTCGGGATGCGGGAGTGAGCGGTGCTGCTGTCGCTGCTGCGGGCTTTCTTCTTTTTTCCTACTATGGTTTTGGTTCCGAGGTTAACGAAAAAGGCTTTGTCCGAAAACGATACACACACAAACGAAACAGGCCACTTGCCGTCGCTTCCGTTAGTATGATGGGACTCTGATGTGTGCGGAGAGGACAGGATGCCCGCCAGCGGCGCCGACTCACTGAAGCCCAGCGCCTTCATCCCGGTGTGCACGGCCGCCTGCCTCCTGGTCGGCTCTACCTCCCTCTTCTTCGTCTTTACGTAAGTGCGACCCTAATGAGAAAGTTGGTGACATGCATTGTTGGTTTGCTCCCATCCATCCAGAAATCCATTACTCTTCATCCACCGTGCATCAGGTATTCTTTCATTCATTTGTGCATGTGCATAAAATTAAAAAAAAAAGATTATCCTCCTTTCTCAAATGTCATTAAGATGAATATTGACTGTGCAGTTTTATTTCCATTTTTAGTTCAGTTTGTAAAGAAACATTTCTTAAAGTAAACATGCAGAAAAAGAGCATCATTTCTCATTTTCACTGACTTCACTCTTGCTGGCAGACCCACCAGGGGCGGCTAACATCTGACCCCTTTGGCTCACACTGTGGGCTAGGCTGGGTGCCTGGCCAATGCACCCTGAGGACTAAGAGTAAGCACACTTTAGGGGATAAGCCACCCACAATCAAACATGTATCAAGGCATCATTATGACCCACATGTGTAATAAATACAGCAGGAGGAAGTCAAATACACTCTCTGCAAAAGCCTTTTATTATTATTTTTTGGCCTTTTTATTTTTATTGGCTTTATTGGATAGTGACAGCTGTAGATAGACAGGAAAGGGGGCAGAGAGAGAGGGGATGACACGCAGCAAAGGGCCGCAGGTCGGATTCGAACCCGGGCCTTTTAAACCTCACAGCGTGGTTTGTGATCAGACAACCTGATTACAAGTTAAGTTTTAATGCAGCACTTGGTGAAACGTGTTGAAATAGTTAATTTTAGCCTCCTGGTTTTGACCTACTTGTGAGGAAAGGCAGAACTAGTGGGAGGTTGGAAAGATTTAACTCCAACGCTGGCATACTGGAAAAAAATTTAATATAATAGGCCTATCTTATAATACCGTAGAATCCAAATTAAATGACTATAGGTTAGATTTATCTTATTTTCCAAAGCCTTTACATTAAGAACCATACAGAAAAAAATAAACAAACCAATTTCAGATATTAAAGCACTTTCACTATGAAAACCACTCTGATATCCACCATTGACTTACTGACTGAAGGCTCCTACCTCATCAGCTCTATGCCACTCTACTGACCCTTGACCTCCGTAGCCATATCTGTCCTAGTTTCTCATGTATTCTCCAGCCGTGCACCGTTTCCACTGGAATCTGACACCAGATTGGGAGTATGGGATTAGGATCCTTTTGCCAATGCCATGTGATCCCCCATCTGGAAAAAAATGAGTCTGGGATCTTTGAAATTCCTGTCAGCAGATATTTACTCTACCCTCTTTCTGGAGTGACTTTAACCATCAGATACATTCATTTTATAGTTGTAGATATTTTTTTCCACACACTACTTCATTATGTTCTCCTTATTTCCTTTTTCATTTTCCTTTCTTTTGTTGTAAAAGCTGGTAAAGCAAAGACCCAAGAGCGTCTTTATATGAGGGCATATATGATACAGGCCTACATCCTTTTATTGTATTAATATTATACAAATGACTTGAATGGGTTTAAAAAATTGAAATAATTTCAATTAATTTGTAGCTCTCTCCACTCTAGATTACAAAAATATGTCACGCTCAAAATTCACATGTTAATTTGACAGCTGTCTAATTGCTGAATTAATGAGGCGTTTTGGACATCTTGAGACTCTAGAGGCTCACAGGCCAGGAAAGGCAGAGAAACTCTGATGAATTAACATCTTTACTGTGTGAGAGAGAAAAAAAAAAGATCAATGCCCTGCTGACGTGACAGATTGAAAAGAGACTACTTAAATGGGACTGCATTGCTAAACCAGCAAAACCAGGACACTGCAAATGATTGAATGAAGAAGTGATGAATCTGCTTCTTATGGGTTAAAGGGTTTCATCTGAGCTGAAATGACCTTATAACTTACATTTATTTTTAATTAACACAGCCCAGTAGAAAAGGGCTTCAAATTTTCTGACTTGATGGCTACTGTATATCAACCTCTGAGGACAGTGACTGAAAACCTACTGACTGACCACCACTGTAATACCTTGGTATAATGTCTGCAGTTCATCTTGTGTCTTAAATACCCTTCTAGCTGTTTGTTTGCCCTTATAATCTGGAAGTATGTACAGTTGGTGTAAAGGCCATTCACATCAGCATTCAGCAGGAAGTTAGAAACATTTTCTTTCAGGAGAAACTATTGTCAACTGCCAGTTAACATAAAATTCTTCTATTATGAGCAGTAACTCTGTTTAATATCCTGTGTATCTGCCAAGCCAGCAGCTGCAGCTGGAGTGACTCCAGACAGAGATAGACAGGTGCCACGCTCTGTTCAGCCCCGCCTTGGTAACACTGAGTCAAAGGGACATCGCTTGTCATCTGCCATAACATCATCCTGGCCTTTACCCTGGTTGCTGTGAATCATGGGAACATGCTTGAATGCTGTCCAGTCAGGCCTTTTGTAATTTTTTATACTGATGAACCATTGTACCTACAATTTTAATTCCAAACCCTGCAGACATGTTAAATATAAATTCCCAGCCCTTTCATCTGGTAATATTCATGAAATTAGCAGTGTGTTTGCATTTGTAGTGCAAGCGTGCTTCCATTTCTGTTTCCACTGCAGGTTCTGTAGAGCTAGAAAACAACCTTTGTGAATTGTGGAGGCTCTTTCGTCTTCCTTCGGCTAAAAAAATTAATCAGTTACCGGTTTCCTGCTTTTGTTCGTCTGACCATGAACTTTTGTTTGGGTTAGTGCTTAAGGTTTTGTGCATTGTTAAACAAAGGCAGGTTGCCTACGCCCAACAAAGGCCACACACACAAGAAGGACCAAGAAAAATGTCCCTTGTTAATTAAGTTATGTTCCACTCTGCCCAGACTCAAAAACCTTGCATATCTACTGAGTAAACTGTGTGTTCAGAATACAGAAATATATTGAAGAGGCATTTTCTGAAGAAAAGTGTAAAATTGCAGGAGCAAACACTGTAAACACATTAAAATATCATAAAATGTTGCATGTTAAGTTGTAATATATACAGATTTCACTTTCCACTGGATGTCACACTAGAGCGCAGCATTTAAGATCAAAACAAGACAGAAATAAAATAAAAAAACAACAACAATCACCAACTCTGGTTTGGTTGAAATAAACCCTTAATTCACAGTTAGATGT